GATTGTGATTGGGGCTGAGCGATCAGGATGCTGGGCTGCTGATGTGGGCTGACAGCTCTTGAGAGCACTGTCATAGCGGCGTATAGGAAGGCCGATAGGGTGGACGCCCCCCCACTCCGCCGCACCACGTACAACAAAAGCCTGCGCCAGACGAGACAAGAGCTGCTCATATACCAGTAAACTGAGGGCGGAAACCTCGAGACTCTGTAACTCCATTTCCTCTGCTTGATCTGCCGACAGTTTCTATTTCTGACAGGAGAGATTATCTATCACCCCCCTGCCCCCCCCCCTGCTCCTCAGATTGTTCATTCCTGTAGCTTTCCCGGTCGCAAACTTTGTCTCCGAGACGCGCTTTGCTCCGGAAATGCGACTGTAAAAAGTGCCAAGCGGTCCTGGAAGCGTGCAGGACTCATCCACGCAGAAGAGATCCTGTGGAAACATATGGATCATCCAGGTCACCCTCTGTGCTCCCCCTCTGCTGCCCTACATGCACGCTAATATTCCTGTCGCTCACAAACATGCACCACAGGCCGGGCATGGACGAACACATTGGCTGCTAAACCTTTTCTTTTTGGCGGAGGTGGACGTGCACACACATGCAGTCCTCCTCATTAACATACAACTGGTAACAACGAGTAATACTCTCAAAGACGACTCACACGTACAGTTTGGATGTTTTCTTTGGTTATTTCTCAACTGAGAAACAGTGAAGACAATTTAAAAAATGCACATAATGGACATTTTACAGAAGACAAAGCCCGAACTGACTGATTGTCGATGAATCCCTTTCTTTAAACGGAGGTTGATTCACAGCGGGACAGTTTGCCGTCGCCCGTCACCTTGAAACCGACCTTGTCTTTCTTTGCTTTTAGGGAAACGTTCTGAAACTTAAAGGAGCAATATCCAAAATATTAAAAACGTGGACTCAGACAGAAATAAAAACAAATATAAAAGCGCTGAGATTCGAACGCCTCCTTCCTGAATATCTGAGATACAGATAAACTTAGTTTGGGATTTAAAACTTGAGTTTGACTATTAGCAAGATTAAACAAAAACTGGGACAGGATGGATTACCGGGACATGTTTTTGTGGACAGTTACATTTTGGTGGTTTAACATTGTTGTTTGATATTTTCTCAGAGAATAATTCCTGGACTGGTATTTTTGAGCACGTGCAGTCTGGTGCACACGCTCTCATCGAACAGGTTACACTCATGACGACTGTCACCAAAAAAACCACATTTACTATTTCACTGAGGGGACGCTGAAGATGTGAAGATGAACACTGAGCTGCTCTAACTTCATTTCTCTCCGACATTAAAAGCTCGGAGGTGAAGCTCGTCATCGTCACAAACCTCTGCAGCTTCAGCTCTGGTTGTGTGCGGCGATGGACGGTTTTATATCAAAACGTCATAATGACATATCTGTAGATATGTGGATTAAGACGAACAGATGACAGGAGCTTTGGCTTAGATGAGACGTGCCAGAAGTCCATTTAATGATTTTCTTTACATGATTTCACGTCTCTCTCTCTCTCTTTCTCTCTTTGCTTTTTCTATCTCGGTGATGTTTGCATGACAACAGTGGGATTGTCATCACTGATTATCAACACATGTAACCTGCATCTTTACATGATGTCATATTCCTTTTAATTTGAGCAACATGAACAATATATTGTTGGGTTTAGGTTCAGAGTTTCAGTGTCTTCTGCTGGAATAATAGATTTTATTAATTGTTTTTAAGCTTCACATTTGTTTTGGGGATTTTAGTGGATGAGTTTAGCTTCTCAGAATCATCTGAATTTACCCAGATGAGGAGAAATCACTTAATCTTTAATCAGACTTCATGAGAAAAGTGATTATCATCAGAATAAAATATCTTGAGCAGTGAATGCTTCCCTGAACTGAATTAATTAAACAGAAATGATTTGATCTTTCTTTTAAAACCTGCTGTAGAAGTAACATCCTTCTATTTTCGATGTTTGCCGCAGTTTTTTCCCCAAATTTTTTGAGGGGGGACTTTTTCCGGACTCGAGCGACAGCGGACAGAGTGATGTGGAACATGTGAAAGAGGTCAGAGTGAGCTGATTGTCACTTAGCTGCGCGCTCAACCTGGAGTTCAGGGCCGAGTCAACAGAGGGGACGTCCACTTGTACATGAACGCTGCTGTAATGAGCCACCTCCCACTTCTTCATGTCTTTAAGACAGAGAAAGATAAAAACATCAAATTCTGTTTAAATGGCTTCAAACGCTGAGATAAGAGCGTCAGGGTTCACGTTTGAAATGATGGACTTTCACGTGTCATACAGCTGCACTTAAATTAGCTTTTCCATCCATTTGTGCAGACGTGTTTTCTCATCATTTCCACACCAGTGCTCCTGCACAACAGCAGCATCTTCTCATTGTTAGCTGCACATAAAGCCGGACGATGACACAAAAAGGGGAAGAGACCTCAAGTTCTTCAAGAGCAATGCACGAGTCCTTTCTGTGGCTTGCGCCGAGCAGACGCGGGGGGAGATGGGAGGCAGGGGAGGCGGTGGGGGGGGGTAGGTGGGGGAGCCATTTTGTGCACTGCGTTGTCCAGCCGAGCGTAAAGCGTGATTAATTCAATAGCCGCCATAGAGGAGGAGGCTAGCAGCTCTGCAACGCCGAGCGTGACCCACTTTCCCCGTCAGATGTCATGAAAAATTCCCTGCTATCCCTCTGTGCGTTTCTCATTCGCCCCCATCGCCAACTTCCTGCCTGATTAGCAAAGAGACGATCAGAGGAAAATCACAAAAGTCGACGTACGTGCGGTGTGTTTGAAACCGGCGGTGGAAGTGGAGACAGGACGGAGAAAATTTAGATTTTTTTTAAATGTTTGTTTTAAAAATTCAGACCCTAAAAAAAAAACCATGGCTATTTGCTGGAAGGATTGAGCCCATTGGGGCAAATGAATCACGGGGCCTTGACCTAATTCTATTATGCTACAGGATGTATGAGCAAAAGTCGTGTCGATGAGGACAACTATTCAGAATGCAGCTCTTAACGCTGACCTCCTTCATCTCTGAGGTCCAGCACGCTTGTTTTTTGTTGACCTAAATCTACACAGCACTATCCCACAGTCTCAATCACGGCTCGGGAGCCTCCTTAAGCAAAAGTATATATTTAAAGGGCAGTTTATTATTGTGCAAGAGCGGAGAAAGCGCGCACTCAATATAAATGTAGTCCGAGATCGTATAAAAATAAAACCTTGGCTCTAAAGTCACTTCTTTAAGAACTTCTCTGCCCCCGAATCCTCAGTTTGTCGTCTTGAAGGAGGATGAATCCTGTGCCATCCATCATCAACGTCAGCTCCAATCCCATCGTCAGTCTTGGTAGGTTTATTTACGCCCCCCCCCTCCTGCCCCTGGAGAGGACCTGCACCGCTGGCTTGGGTCTTAAACCCGGATTAAGGCTTTTTATGTAATCTGGTCTCCTCTGGGAGATTGGAGAGACAGCTGGCTACAGAATCCCTGTCCTTATCCGTCGAACCTCCGCTGGCCTCCGACCAACGTGCATGCAGCGTAGATTAGAGCGGAGGGACGAGATCTGGAGCCAGAAAGTATTTGTTTGTGAACATATGTGCGGGTCCAGTTAGAAAACATAAACACCTGAACAGCTCCCAGCATGAACTGGAGCTTAAAATACGTACAATGAATTCATCATGAGTTCATTTCACACCTTTTAAACTCTCCTCGCTTCATATGCATGGTTAAATTATTTCAGCTGCAAGTTGGACTCATAGTTCTGTCAATTTATAAAAGTATAAAGCAGCAACGAAGTAAAAAAAACACAAGGAAAGACGCACGATGTGTAGAAATAACCAGTTAAAAGTATTATTCAAAAATAGTTAAATGTTGTAAAATACACTTCTACTGTAAAAACAGCAGGAAAATATAAGAAATATAAACTGTTTAGATGAAAAGTAATTTAGTTTAGTTTTAAAAATACTAGTCAGTAAAGTAGTAGAACAGTTTAAACATGAGTATTTACAGTAGTGACTTTATCCATATAGTACTATCAATACTATCAATACTCATCTCTTAAAAATCTGAAATACATAAAACTACCAAAGACAACTGTAAATAAGCAATTGCACAGGGGAGGAAAGAAATACATGCATGTGTATAAATATTTAAATGTTCTCATAGCGACAGTGATATTATTTGTCTCTTCAGTCAAGGTGAACTGATCCAGAAGCTTTTCTCTCCACATATGATTTTCAACCGGCTGCAAATGTCAATAAATACCAGAATGAAAATAGTATTTAACTGATACTTAGTCCTGTATGTGAATTTATCAAACTCACAACATAGAAAAGTGCAGTTTGAAATCAGATTTGAAGGTTTACTGTAGATTTTCAGAGAAATATCTAATAAATTATATTAAAAAATCCAGTGAAAATTCAAATTAAATCCTTTCAGTTGATAATTTAAGAAGCTAATCATCATTTCTGTCATCACCAGGAACCACTGACTAAATCAGAAGAAACATTATGTTTGAATAATAAAGAATTTACCAGATTAACGTGCTGCTCCACATGTTAATATTCCATACCCTCTGTCAGGGAGTCAGATTACAGACTGAAGCGCCCTCTGGTGGTCACCACTCAGCCCTGCTTGACTCATCACTTCACCTGTCAGGCAGCGTTGGAGACGCTCCGGCTGAAACGAGCTCGGTATAAATAAATATAACGTTCGATGTCTCATCTCACATATGCTGACCCACATTTTAATGGCATCGAGGGGAACACAGCTTTTATCGTTCACTCTGACTCTCACACATTGTCCTTCCTCTTTAAATTCTCAAAACAGCAATAAATGTGGATTCGTCATCTGCAGCTGAAGATAGTCTGCAACAAATCCAGGGTTTTTACTCCTTCACTAAAAAACTACAGGCTCAGAGCCATGAGCGTGTACATATATCAGGTATTCACTGCCACGAGATGTTGCACTAAAGGTCGAGCGTCTCACTCCAAAAACAAAGGCCACCTCCGGCCTCCATTTGCAAAGTTAGTGAAGCCAAATAACCAGAGATGCTTTGTGCACAAGGGATGATAAATAAAAAAAAGGATCCAGCCACGACCATACGCCACGGCTGGCTCGACCGTCTTACGCAAACAAATTCTGTTTCTATCCGGCAGGTGACCGGTTGGCTGACTCCACCATCACACTCGCGGTGGCCCTTGAACCTCTCTCACTTGACCACGCCCCTTATTCCTTCACATCCAATCCCGACATGGAGCCCATCAAGGTCCAATCAGAGGGTGGACTGAATGTGACCCTCACCATCAGGCTGCTGATGCACGGAAAGGTAAGAAACACCGAAACACACATCTGGCTCAGAAATTCACCTTCCTGTTCGGTAACTGCTGATTTCAAAAGTCCACCTGTTGTGTTGTGTTTGTGCAGGAGGTCGGAAGCATCATAGGAAAGGTATTTATCCCCAACACGACAAACAGACCACATAGAGCATCATCGACGCCTGTGGCAAGCTTCTCAATGTTGTTTCTTTTCCTTCGCAGAAAGGAGAAACGGTGAAGAAAATGCGTGAAGACGTGAGTTAAACATTCCTGCGAAGATTCTTCTCAGAATTATAAACTCACTACAGCTCTCGGTGGTTTATGTTTCATCTTTTTCTTTTTGCTGTTGTTGTTGTTGTTCTGCAGAGCGGAGCCCGTATCAACATCTCAGAGGGGAACTGCCCTGAGCGGATAGTCACCATCACCGGGCCGACAGACGCTATTTTCAAGGCCTTTGCCATGATCGCCTACAAGTTTGAGGAGGTAGCAACGTGTTTGACACAACGAGTTCCTTCCAGAGGAGGAATTCACATCCTCTAATTTTAAAACCACACAATTACAAGTGTCTCGTGTGTTTTACGCTCTCACCTACATTCCACCAGAGCTGTGCTCCAGCAGGTTTCCTGACTCACACCCACATGGAATACAAAGCAGGCTTGGCCTTGTTACACAGGACAGAAATGTGCTGATCTAACCTTGCAGCACTTTTTGAAAGTGGGCCAGTTCTGTGTTTTGATTTGGGAGCCCGACCGAGCCAAAGTGTCAAAACACTACACACAGACCTGTGCCAGGGATGAGAGCGTACGGACCCAACGTGGAGGGACAGAGCTTGGAAGCGCTTAGAAACATTACTTCTATTTTTTAGCTTTAACGATTTAATTCTCTTTATCTGATGAAAGCTGTGTTTTGTTCTCCTCCCCTCAGGATATAATCAATTCCATGAGCAACAGTCCAGCCACCAGTAAACCGCCCGTCACCCTGAGGCTCGTCGTCCCGGCCAGCCAGTGTGGCTCCCTCATCGGGAAAGGAGGCTCCAAAATCAAAGAAATGAGAGAGGTAGAAACTTTTTCAACTGAAAGGTTGTCAGATATTAACCTGGTCCTGGACTATTATGGTATGTCAACAAATTGGACCCAAGAATACACAAAAAAAACCATCAAATCCAATTTAGGAAGTTAGTATAAAAACCACAAACATGCTCGACGAAGCATTTTCAAAGTTGTGTATTTTTATGTCTCATATATTTGCTTATGTTTCCTTCCTACCTCCAGTCCACAGGCGCTCAGGTGCAGGTTGCAGGGGACATGCTCCCCAACTCCACCGAGCGGGCGGTGACCATCTCCGGGGCCCCAGAAGCCATCATCCAGTGTGTCAAACAGATCTGTGTGGTGATGCTGGAGGTACAGAATGGAGGGGCGAACCAATAAACGAGGGGACATTAATCAACAGTGATTATATTACAGATATAAATCGTACCTGATAAAATGACTCTCATCAAAATGCTATTATTTTAATAGTGGGGATTTCACATTGTTATCGTATTACAAAGAGAAGTCATATATAAATGCATTGTTTGTACCTTTACCAATAATTACTGCATTTCTTATATCAGACAGATGAACACACACAGAGGGAATTATTCATTATCTCTTTGGGTGAAGTTTATTCACAATCAGAACGTCACTGAGTAGAGAACAAACCTCCGCTAACGCTTTATTTGTTCCCGACCCACAATTATTCTCGGAAGTCTTTTTCCACTGGGTCGCATCGTGTGCAGGATTCGATTACAGCTCAGACAGATCCCAGATTCTAAACTGGAGTTCAGAATTTGCTGAATTTCAATTTCAACCTGGGTGTTTTAGTTTTAGTTTATGCACTTAAATTAATAAGTAAAGGGGTTAAAAATACAATAAAATATCTCCAGGATAATTGTTGATTTTAATCAAATTGATCAGATTGTTTCTATGACGGGAAACGTACTCTCTCTCTCTCTCTCTCTCTCTCTTCTTTGGCAGTAATCTTGTAGTTTTTGCATAATCTCCGGCTGCCGCTCTCTCAGGGAGGCTTAATGCCAGAGAACCTCGGCCGACTCGTAAAGACACTGACTGTGAATAAAATTCACCCAGCAGATCAATACAGCAGGTGCTTACTGTGCTGTTTCAAACTCTGGAGCGCTGCTGTTTCCCTCCCTGACTCTTTCACTGCAAACAGAATCCACCCACTCGCAGATGCACGTCACCGTCAGGATAATGCTTCTAATCACCGGGCTACATGCTCTCGAGTTGTCTCTCTCTTTCTCGCACCATTAATTTGAACTATCTGCGCAGCCAGTTCTCCATTGGGCCGTCACGATGGCACCAACCGTGGATACTAGGAGATATGTGACCTGAGCGTAAGTCTCTAGAATGTGGACTCGATATCTCAGAAACAGTTTGTTGAGTCATCATTATCCAGTTGAAAGTGATGTTCCAGGTAAATCTGCGTTTAGTCGTGCACTGATTCTGAGTTTTTACGTCAGCATGCACACACGGTGAAGAGCACTTTTGTTGGCCGTCTTCCCCGAGGCACTGTCCCTCTGGTCTCACTTAATGCAACGTCTTTCTCTCTCTTTCTGTTCCCTCCTTTCTTTTTCTCTCTTGCTCTAACACTCTCTCCCCATCTCACTCCTTCTTCTACCCTCCTCTGCTCTCCTCAGTCCCCACCGAAAGGTGCCACCATCCCCTACCGCCCCAAGCCTGCCTCCACCCCTGTCATTTTTTCAGGTGGCCAGGTAAGAGCAGACCCACTGGGGGCGTCCACAGCCAACCTCAGCCTCTTACTGCAGCACCAGCCACTGCCTGTTAGTGTCACACCAGGTTTTACTCACTTCTCCCCCTTTTCCTCACTCCCCCCCACCAACCCCCATCCCCCCCCCAACTGGCATGAACCTATCACTGCTGTTTACTGTGCCCCTCACTGTCGCCCATCACCCCCCACACCCCCACCCCCACCCCAGCCACTCACAGCAGAACTGAGATAAAACACACGGAGAGAGAGAAATGGAACAAGTCTCAAGTTCTCCTGCGTTTTTTGTGGGAAATTGGCCAACTTACCTTTTAATAATGAGAAGACAGGAGGTGGACGGACGCTCGTGATGTCCATGTTAAACCTAAACAGACAAAAACAACCTTATTTTAGCTACAGAAAATACTGCAGGGAATAAATATTACTTTTATTACAGGTTGTTTAAACTTCATCACACACGGAAGCTGCATCAAGGCTCACGGATTCATATTATGTAGATATTTCTGTATTTATATTCATTTTATCGCCTATTTTAAACTTTCACATGTTCTACCTCATCTGGCTCTGCTGCAGAAACAGCCTTACTGTTAATTTACCGGATAATCAACAATCAAGTGGAGAAAACATCAAACTACAGATTTAAAACAATTCAAACGATCACAGACTCGATGCAAATTGACTAGAAACACAGAAACTGAACAGGAATGAGCTGTTGATGTGGATCCACAGCTGAAACACGGTATGTGTGTGTATAAACACAGTGTATATAAAGATATACACACTAACACAGAGTGTGTGGGTAGAAGCAACAACGTGGTTGTGTTAGAATCATATTAACACAGAGACCGGAAACGGAAGTAAACAGAGAACAGGCCACTGATTGGCTGATTGAGGACAGGCGAGTGAACCAGGTGAGCTGCAAATATAAATACTCAGTAGAGACATCTAGCGGCCTGGATGTTAATTACAGGCGACAGAAGAGCAATTATCATTGATTGATTAATCAATTAATCAGCTAATTGTTTCAGATCCTATTCAATAAACTACTTTCCTCTTATATTTACCTTCAATTAACAACTGTCATTTTATTCTATTTTTTTTATTTTATTCTTTTTTCTTACCTTTCTCTCACCATTTATTTTATACTTTATCTATCTATTTATATATATATATACACATATATATATATATGTCTATAGCTTTATAAATTTATATCAATATCATCTATCTAATTAAATATGAAAATGTTAAATATCGCATTTAGTTCAATGCTTTAAAATATATAAAAACAAAGAAGAGAAAAACAATTACAAAATCGGAAACACATTAAATCACTTGATAATCAACTGTTTATAATAATAGTGAGAGATTCATTTTAATCGTAATGCGGGGAAAAACAAGGAACGATCTCAATCGCTTTAACATTTGTTCTACGTTCACTGAATTTCCACCGTGTTGAGACTTGACACGTCATTTCTTGGTGTTTACGGTGCAGCCTCGGGCGCTGTCTCGGCCGACGACATGAAAGTGAGCTCAGTTGTGATGTCTGTGGCCTCAATGAAGCACACACCCGATAGGTCAAGTCACATTACTCCTCTCAGGGCCGCTCCCTCCTCACCCTCCCCCTCACTTCCCCACTGTCTGCGTTGTCCCTTATTGATTTAGTTCAACTGGATCTGATTGATGAATAGCACGAGAACGTGACAGGAGTGTTTGCTGCATGACATTTTTTGTCTTGTCTTAAAATATCGTGTAAAAAAAAAACGTTAAAGTGAAAGATTAAGTTGTAGAGAAGTGAATTATTTAGAATTTTTCTCATATTAACTTTAGTTTTTTGCCTAATTGTTTTATAAATGTTATATTTAACATGTTTTATTAAAAGTCAGTATGTTTGTCCTGATGATATAAGAAGATGACAAAAACCTCTTCTCCTCATGTCTACAGGCTTATACCATTCAAGGACAGTACGCCATCCCTCATCCAGACGTGAGTGCTAACCCCATGAGGCAGTCCACGCTGCACACCTCTCTCTTTGAGTCTCTCTCCACCCTTATTAATATTAATTGTTAATATTAATACATCTTTATTTTTCTGATGTGTAATTCCTATATCTTCTAACTTTTCTGACTCTTGCCTCCCGGCCCTCTTCTTGGCACTAAACCTCAGAGGGCTTGGCCTGGTGGCTGTTGCTTTCCTGGGAATTTGCTTGAAATAGGAATTTTATCACAACAACCATCTCAGAGCAACACTCGAAAATTTGTTTCGGTAAATGTCCGTCGACGTCGTCAAAAAAGCGTTTCACTCAAGATCGGAACCAGAAGACAAACACTGAGAGAACAAAATGAATCAATGAAAAGTTGGACAACAGCGTGAAGCCTGTGTCCGCCGCTGGCTCTACAATGGGATGCTTGATGGAATGCTTAACAACCGTAACTAAGGTGGGCGGGGCTTGTTCTCCAGCATCATCCGGCCAAGTCCTTCATGAGCTTCTCCTCCTCTTCTTCTTCTTCTTCTTCTCTCTCTCTCTCTCTCTCTCTCTTCGTCCTTCACCTGTCTGTGTTGTTACTTCTCCTCAGATCCTCTTTTTACTCTTGTAGCATTTCGGACAGACCTGTGTCTGCGTGAGTGTGTCAGCGTGTGCGTGAGTGTTTTTAACGATGACCTCATAGCTCTGCTGTCCTCCTCCTCCCCCCCTCAGCAGTTGAGCAAGCTCCACCAGTTGGCTATGCAGCAAACCCCCTTTACCCCCCTCGGACAGACCACCCCTGCCTTCCCCGGTACGTACCCACCTACACGACGACCCTTTTTTACCAAAGCTCCTTCTCTCGTTTTTACCTGTAGAGACAAACACAATCTCTTCCTCCTTTTCTTCTCTTTCTCTTCTTTTCCTGTCTCTGTCCTTTACTTTTTTCTTCTTCTTGTCGTTCTCCTCCTAACGGTCTCTGTGGTGCACTGCCATTGACATGGCCTGCTGGTGGTCTGCTCGTGTTGATGTTGAGGTTTCTTATGTTCTTTGGTTTTTCCCCTGAGCATTTCCTTTTTCTTTCAACGAGTCAATAGCCTCAGAGTGTTTTTCATTCAGAGTAGAATTCACATTGTCAGGTGACAGTTATTTTATACAGTGAGTGTGTGTAGGCTCTGCTCAGGGCTGAGCCAGAGCTACCGGTCAATAGACAGGGAATGAAAAGCCTCCAGGAGCGAACTTCATTATTGTTATTCACTCCCTAAATGTGCCAAACTCTATTTCCTTCCCTCCTCTCTTTCCTGTCTGATTCCTGTGTTCAGCAGCAGGTCTGGATGCCAGTAACCAGGCCAGTACTCATGAACTCACCATTCCCAATGATGTGAGTACATTTGTCATCTTGTGCAAAATATCTGCTTGTGACTAGTTTTGTTTGGATTCTTTTAGATTTACAGAGATTAAATCAAAACCGAGATACTTGTTGCCTTATTTACACTATTATAGATATCTTTCTTTATGAATATTTCAAAAAACAGTGTCTGTCCACATAATATTCTTCTAATATCTTAACTTAACTTGAACATGAGAACGCAAACAAGCGTTCCAATAGGTGGCGATAAAGTCTAAGATACGTCAAATAGCGGAGAAGAATGTTTTGTGAGCTTATGTGGCAAAACAAGAACAACAGCAGCCAAGAATTTGAATTCTTAATTAAATGGTTCAATTATAAATTGGAAAATTTGTCCTCAAACCAGCAAAATGAAGAGAAATGGAGTTACAACACTTCAGGAACTAAGTGCGATCAAAGCCCAAATCCACAAATGTTGGCCCACAATGTCAAAAACTGTGGCTTATTATCTTTTAACGTTTCTTCCTCGGGAGGTTTCCACAAACACAATGTGACAGCAGATCAACTACTGAGATTCCTTCTCCACAGCAGAGATGTGGAGAAGCCAAAGCCAGTGGGCTGTGTAAAGTGATTGTCCTAAATAGAAAAGACTTGTTGGACCCAAGAAAAGTTAAAGCATGAAGCTGAGGATGACCGGTCATCGCTCACATTCGTCAGAATGTTTGTATTCATGTCCTGTGTGTGCGCTGGCCATCCTAAGTCCAACCCCCATTTTCTTCCCAGCTAATAGGCTGCATAATCGGACGCCAGGGAACCAAAATCAACGAGATCCGTCAGATGTCTGGGGCGCAGATCAAAATTGCTAACGCCATGGAAGGGTCATCGGAGCGCCAGATCACCATCACAGGGACCCCCGCCAACATCAGCCTGGCCCAGTACCTCATCAATGCAAGGTCAGAACTCAGGGCCCCGTTAGTTAGAGTTCACTTTTCAGAAAGAAAAGCTGCAACCGTCACAATTGGGTGGAAATAAACAACCAGAGGAACTTTCTCCTACTTCCTCCTTTAGGTTCAGAGACGTGGCGGCCATGTGGAACGACCCATCTTCCATGACCACATCCTGAGATCCCTGACTGGCTCCTCCGTTTGGCCCTTTCCAATGACTGACTACCGCAGACAACCCTGATGCAGCCCTTCGGACTCTGGCTCTGGCTCTCCGAAAAAAACCCGACCACCTTCCCGCCCTGGTTCAAAGTTGTTTATACATCGGGGGGGGTTCGGTGCTCACTTATATTTCAGAGAGCCACATTTAATCTTAAAAAAAAAAAAAAAAGAAATTACAAAAAAGAAAATCTCTGTTGATTAGGTTATTATTATTTTTTTTTTTTAGAGAACTGTTGAAGCATGTTGAATGTTTATTAGGAACAACTTGTGTTAACTCTTTCTTTCTTGCTTTTCTATCTATTGCTTTCTTTTTCTCTCTGTCAGTGCTGCGTCATAGAACATCATTTAAAAGTATCAGACGTGCTCGTAAACGATTGAACATTTTTGTAGAACGTAGATATTTGCATATTACAGCTGCTCAGTGATGCTATCGGCAGAGTGTGTGGTGGGATGTAGCCAAATTATCAAATTCTGATAATATATTTTGGAAAAAAAAAAAAAAAATTTGGATTGTTCTGCGTTTGTCCCAATTTGCATCTTTGTCTACTCACGAATCCAATCTCTACCCATGACTCTTTGCTGCATCACATGACCCTTTTAAGCCAATGGTATCACTCCTAGAGCCTCCCTTCTCGTGTTCATTTCCTATATTTACATTATTGCTTATATTGCATGTGTTCAGTGTCGTATCATTGTGTATTTGAGGAAGCCTGTTCAGTGTACATGTCCCTTCACATGTTATTATTATATCTTTGTGCTCCTGTTCTTTTCCCCAAACTTTTTCAGCATTTCTGGCCACTCACGTCGAGTCCTGCTCCCTGCCCAGACGAAAAACTTTCCGACATAGCCTCCTTCTATCAACACCGATTATTAGTACATAGATGCATGAATGGGAATTAGTGAATAATCAGTGGCGTAAACACTGACTGAAAATTTAAATGATTGTTTACTAACGTATTACTATACTGTATTTGTTTTGTACGAGGACTATTGTGACGTAGCACATTAGTCGACTACGCGGCGCTCATGCAATAGACTATTCAACACTTTACTCTGGACTGCCTCTGATGTGGGAGGAATTAGTTGGACTTAAAAACCAGGTGTTGCGTCCAAACCTTTCAGCTTCCTTCCCTTGTGCCGGAAACTATTCTCTAGAGAAAGAAAAGTAAATCTTGGCCCCTGTGGAAGCTTTTCGAGGGAGAGCCAAAAACAAGGGAGAGAAGCAGAATCTTACGGCGAAGCAGCCTGAACGTTTGGACGAAGCCGAATGGTATTTTTTGGGCCAAGGAATGTTCAGGGGTTCATTGGGGGGAACCCACGGGGTCTGGGCGGGCGTGACCACTCAGTCTCTTTTTCACGATTGTTCATCTTGTCATGTTCTTTTCGTTGTCATACGGTTGATTTGACGCTTTAGGTTTGAATGTCTTTTTATTGTCACAACTATGTCAGCAACTTAATTGTTTTTCTTTAAAAAAGGACGGGTTGGATGACAATTCCTGCTTCACTGGTTTTCAGTAAAACCAGCATGTATTTATTTATGGTGTGGTGATGCACATATTGACTTTTTGTTGCTCATGAAACTTAAGCTAAGTTAGTTTTGTTGTAGTGTGGTTCATTTGAGAGGGAGGTGTGGATGATATCTGGATTCAGTGTTTCAATCATCCCGCGCGTGTCACGACGATGCTCTAAATAATATTGGACGGCTTGACTCATCTCATTCACGAGCTTCAGCTGAGCTCAATTCAGTGTTGACGCATACAAACAGCTGTTGAATGTTATTGTCGAATCACATTATCTTCTGTCCAACACAGCAACATTCTGCATTTTCTTCATACATGCCGCCTCTTTTGTTTTAGTTCCAGGAGCCTACACTGAGCCTAAAAGAAAGAATTTGACATTTTGAGAGATATGCTTAGTTGAGTTGGACGAGACAATCCGTCAGACATGATTTCACAGACATGAAACTCAACTTCGCATAAAAACTGTAAAAGAAAATTGTCCAAAATGTCAAATTTGTCTTTTAGGGCCTTGATGGCATAAATGTGATCATGTAAATGGACCAAATGCTGTATCAGTATACTGAACGATGCATAGTCTGCCATTATTCTGCAATAATTCTTACATTTCGATGTGAACTCAAATAGTAGCGCTAGCATTCATACTATGGATTTGTGTTTCTTTTTATTTTGACTCGTCATAGCTTGTACCTCGATGGGAATGTTTGTCAAATCAACAATCTGAAAATTATGTTTTCCGGCAAACGTTTTAGCTTTGGAACAGTTAGCCGATACCTAAGAGGTCATTCTTTCCGACTTACCAACAAACTGAAACAGTGAAGAACATCCTCGAGGGTATTATGGCGTTTATACAACAGTGACGGTGCATGTGGACGCTCAACTAATGGTTATTATGGCACATGCATCTGACAAATCATTGTTGTATAATATGAACCGGATTGCTAACAGGAATTTTGTGAGTGATGGCAATGTGATTTCAATAACATCAATATTCATGTGTTACTCAGTGTTTGAAAACTGTATTTACATTTGTGTAGGCTAAATGCCTGAGTATACAAACAAACTGCAACTAATGCAATAATAGGGTGCAATGTGCAATTATTTATTCAGTTATTTAGTTATTAGCATAGATACATGAGAGCTGTGTAGCTTGCTGGGTTTTTATTTTGTTTTATTTTATTTTATAACTTTCCATGTGGCAGCAACAGCAGGAAAAAAAAGGAATGACTAGACATGTTTTTTTGTTTTCTCAGCTTTTTTTTTGTGTGTATTGCAGTTTGGGGAAAAAAGTGATAGAACTTTGTAACTATTTTCAATTGATTTATTTGCTATGTGCAGATCTATATTAGTTGTGAGTAATTACATAGGTATTAATTTCAAAGTGTTGGTAAGTATAAAAACAAATAAAGTTTCATTTTTTCTTTCTGTGACTTGTTTTGCTGCGGTTTCTCTTTGCTGCTCGTCGAAGGGGTCGACCGCTGTCACTGTCATTCTCTCCGCTGATAAAGTTGTGAGCATCGAAGTTGTGAAAAGTTCAGAAACTACACAGGATTGTTGGAGAAATATTTTGTTCCGCTCCCAGGTTGGTTCTAAAGCTGAAAAGATCCTCAAGGACAATAGCTGGTTTGTTTTACGGCGCCTGGCAGCGCGGAGGCAGCCTGTGTGATGGCCAGAATACCGGTTTATCTTAACAGAACATTGACGGCTTAAAAAACAAAGGCACAAGATGAGGCCTGTAAATCTAAGGCTCGTGCTGGGGAGAAGGGGAGCGCCTCAGTTTCTGGGTTCAGGGCAGCTTTGCAGTGTGTGGAGGAGGAGGAGGAGGCGGTGCAGTAAAAGGAGGTAAAGTTGTTTTCCAAACAGAATCGCCACAGTGAAGTCTGCAATTACATCATGAATGTTCCTCATCGTGGAAACAAGTCTCCTCGATCTTTAACGATAGAAAAACGTTGTCTTTCACGATCATCGGGTCAGGTGTAGCTACAATAACGATTGTTTCCGGTGTAAAAAATAACCCAGACTGCTCCGAACCTCGACCTTTAACAAGAAGGACGCCTACGCTGTGCATCACTGTTCTCACCTCCGTCAATTTACCCTCAATAACGGCTCAATAGGGATTTGTCCAGCTCGGTTCGTCCAAAACATGAAGGCATGCTCTGCCCTTGTGTTTGGCGTGCCATGAAACTTGGAGTGGGTCCATGCTATCACTCAGCATCGCTGCGAGCCGCAAACAGACAACCTTCTGTATAATGCAGAGGGCTGATGTCCGCGAGGGAGACGACTCGCAAACCCAAACGTTGCTGCAAATGTGTCAGAGTGGCGATATTCCGACCTTCTTCCTTTTCCACTCAGATTATGACTGAGGGGGTCACAGTGCTGCTGCGTCCTCGTTTGTGAATGGAAGCTTTTCAAAGCAGAGTGAGCTCTGTCTTCAGAGAGGTCAGTGTGTTCTGTGGGGCTGCTTTCAGAGAAGGACTTCACAAAGTCATCTGAGGTAAAAAAAAAAAAAAAACCAGTTTCGACTCAGGTGTCCAAACTTTATCTTCAATCAAATTAATTTATCGGCAGCAAATATTAAATTTCACCTCAGAGAGCAAATGCTATCATCTGAAAAAAAAAAAAAAAAAAAAACCAGGAGGCAAAGCAAACGGAAATGCTCGACCAGTCAATAAATTCAACGATTATGCCTTTCAGTGAAATTGACAGGGCTGAACTGTCGGCAGTTTAATCACACGGATGCTCTCAGCGACGCAGCGTTTGAGCTGGTGCTAGCTTCACAGGTCGTCTGTCACCGAGGGAGGGACGGTTGTATTATCACTGTTTATGAAGAACGAGCGTGACGCGCAGGGCGAACAGTCAGTCAGAGACAGAGCATGAGCTGGTGACTAAAATATTACTAAAATAAGGTTCTGTGTCTTCACGGTTTTTCCTTCAACATGTCACTTAACTTACTGAATTTTAATTTAAACTTATAATCTGCAACTTCGCCACTAGGGGTCTCTCAATCAAAACATTAACAAAAGATCTAGTTTGATGAAGCAGCGTGGGATCATGGGAGTTATTGTCTTGAAAATGTACTGGATGCAACTAAGTTAACTAAAGTTATATTCAAGTGTTCCTTATCTTTAACTTAAGTGCTTTTTGCATCGCAAGCTATAGTTTAATTTCCTTTCCTTTGCATCAAATGAACAGAGACACGAATAAAAATTAAGATTTAATTCAAATGTGCAAAGGTGGAGAAGACATCGTAAAATCTTAAAAAGACGTTGAGATGTCGTTTATAGATGCAAGTGAGCATGAAATTTTAATTTAATACATCAGTGGCTGCAGTTATATGAGCAGATACTGTAGATGATACGTAAACTACACAAAAGGTCAGTCACAGAAATATATTCAAATGTAATCAGTCAATTATTTAATGACGTCCCACGTTCATTAAGGCCAAAACTTTTCTCAGAAGGTTTCTCATTTAGTAGCTGAAACTCAAAAACTGTTTTAAAATGGAGGTTACATGCACGTATGGCTCTGGAGATAAAGGTGCAAGTCTGTGTACAAGGGTTCAAGGAATAAAAATACTTCAAGCGAGACAGAAAACTGTGTTTTTAATTGTTCATGATTATAATTTGTCTTTTTTTATTGACTTTTTGAACTGATCTGGAGTCTGATTCCTTCAGATGTGATCCACTGCTGTTATTAGACGTGATATGGATCCGGTAATCCAGCCGCAGACAATCCTAGTACTAGTACTCATATAAACAAGTACATTTGATTAGTAACTTTTCATTATTGACTAAGTATAAAAATGACGATAAAGTTTGTGCTGAATAAGTTTGAATTTGAGTCGGAGGTACAGCTTCTCACAGGATTGGCAGTGATGAGAGTGAGAGGGAGCAATAGGATGCACACACACACATACACACACATACACACACACATACACACACACTGCTGCAAATCTGCACTGACAGGAGCTCGTAAGCTGACGTTAAAGTGTTGGACACCGGCTCCTGAACCGGCTGCGTTCTCTCTGCTTCAGCGGAGACGTGCGTTTATTTATTTGCAAAAGGATGAAGGAGGAATTGTCTTTTCTTCTTGTCTCTGCTGATTTATTCCTGGATGTCAGGTCGAACAGAGGAATCTCCCCTGAGACCGTGCACACGCTTATCTGAGGCGGACAGGGTGAAGCTCGGAGGTAGGTGCCGACTCTAATAATCGAATCTAACAATATACTCTCACTTTTTTTAACAAAGACACTAATTTAAGTGTGAATAATTCTTTTTGGGGTTAATTTGTCAGAAACTGCACATCACAATTTGCACTGATGAAGTTTTTATCTGATGAATATAAATATCATTGTCGGACTCTGACTTAGGGAAATCAATAACTGATCCAGAGGAACTTCTCTGACATTAATCATCTTTATCAAAAGCTGCTCATCAGCTGTTCTTTGTGTTGGTATCTCGCAGCGAACGCCTCGTGTCCTGTACTCGTTTTTAACGTACATCCTGACCTTCACTGCTCGACTTTCCTTTTTATTTCATCAGAAATCACTGTTTTCAAAGTTCATCAGCTGCATATTGATGAGCCCGCACCTTGTTTAATGCTCCGTCATTTTCTCTCAGGCGTGGATCTTCAGCGAAAGGAGCCGAACTATAGAAACATGTCATTATTATGATAATGCTGAACTTTACTGCCTTCCCCTCAGAGGAGGACGGAGTCTGAGGAGGAGAGACGGTGGACACGTTTGTCTCAATAGGAGCTTTGTGCACGATGGCAACGGAAAACTGATGAAATACAACTGAGGAGGTAAAAAGAATTATTCTTCGAAATCAAAAATAAAGAAATTGCTGAATGTGAGAAATCTTCTGTGAAGACTTGGCATTTCCTCTATCTCACCTTTTCTCTTTGCATCTTTTTATCCACCACAGGTTTCTCTGAATTAGCCAGGACGAGCTCTTCAACCCTGGACACGTTACTATAACTCTTTGTCCTCAGCCGTGCTGCACTTTGACCTTTAATGCAGCGAGAATGCAAACCTTCGGACGCCTGATCCTGTTGTGTTGGACCTGGGACGACCCGGTGACACAGTTTGGGTGCCAACGCAGAGGAGACTGGCAGTGTCACCAAACAAGAAAGTAAGATCCCGCTCTGGTTTTGCCGTAATGCAAAGCGGCGAGACACTGCATCAGCTACACGTACGTACACATTCCTGCTAGAACACTTCATCTTTAACCTCTGCTAAGCCTTCAAATTCCACTCACTTCCTGGATTGTACATCCTGGGTCACTGATATCTGACGGAACGCAGCCGCAGCCTCGCACCCCTTGCGTTTTGACGCAGGGTTGAGTTCGGTGTGAACGCCTGCTAATGGGGGCCTCTCGAAGGTGCAGCTCATCCATAAAACCTCCTTCCTGTGCTTCTCTTGTGGGAACACTGTGCCTCCTGTCGTACGTCATGCCTGCGTCGGCTTGCCCTAAGACCTGTCACTGCACGGACAGAAACGGCGTGGTGGTGCAGTGCACCTCGCGCAACCTGGAGAGCATCCCGCCGAACCTGCCCAAGGACACCGTTGTTCTCTTGCTTTCGTCAAACCGCATCAAACACGTCACAAAGGAGGCGTTCACAGACCTCCGCCGACTCAGGGAGCTGGACTTATCTCAAAACGCCATAGAGAGCGTGGAGGCCGGCGCCTTTCAGGGGATTTCCGAAGGCCTGCGGAGCTTGGATCTCTCAAACAACCACCTCAGCAGCCTCCCAAAGGACACGTTCGCCAAGCTCCACGCCCGCATCCGCCTCTCCCACAACCCCTGGCACTGCGAGTGCTCTTTGCAGGAGGTGCTGAGGGAGCTGAGGCTGGACCCTGAGACGGTCAACGAGGTCAACTGCTACACGTCGGTGCAGGAGGAGTACGTGGGACAACCGGTGATCCAGGTCCTGGACTCTGGGATCAACTTTTGCAACTTCCACCAAAAGACGACAGACGTGGCGATGTTTGTGGCCATGTTCTGCTGGTTCTCTATGGTCACGGCTTATATCATTTACTACATCAAACACAACCAGGAGGACGCCAGGAGGCACATGGAGTATTTAAAGTCGCTGCCCAGCACCTCGCACATCAGCAAGGACTACGACACGGCCAGTAGCGTGCTCTAAAGCGGGTTTGAAAGGATGTAACTGAACCAATGAACACAGATCAACGTGTACCGATGAATATGTTTACAGCCAATAAGGAACACTGATAAGTAACAGCTTTGCAGCAAGTGATGAAACTTAGCTGTGATATATGCAGCACAAGGCACCGAGTCTCATCATCATTAAGTCAAAAGTAGCAGCAGAATCTAAATGAAACTTTTAACTTGTTAGAAAGTTACCGAACAGGTGACGAGCAGGAAAACAGGCTCCGCATCTCGATTTGTTTCCCTTCCCTCTGGAAACAGTCGGAGGCAGGTAATTGATTTTCACTGTGTTGTTATGTATAATGCAAACACGCATCTCCGAGGTAAACGTTATCCCTCGGCTGAATCTTTAAGGTGTGAGTTTACGCACCGAGTGAAGTGGACCTGAGAGTCACTGTCCGTTAGAGATCAGATCACCACAGGGAGAAATTAGCAGCAGGAGAAAGACGAGGGAATTTTATCACAAACTGTAAATAAAGATGGACAAGTAAAGTAAAAACTAATTAGATCGCCCCTTAGTGGCTGACTGCGGTATAGCTGATAAACCCCTCCTCCCGAGTGTACGTCAAGTAAATGTTTCTCAAAGATGGTTTCTGAGATTTTAGGTCGTTCATATTTCTGATAAGTTCGGTTTTATTAGTGTTTTCATGGTCAGTGTCACGATTGACAGCTGAGACCGCCCCCTAATTATGTCCTAGACTGTGAATAAAGATGGACGACACATGTCTCCACTTCCTCCCTCATGTGCTATCGCAGCTTACGGAATCCCGGGTGGAGCAGAAGCAGCTGCCCGGTCTCTGGCAGAGCGCCGTGCAGAAGGGCGTGAGGCGTTCCCCCGTTGGGATAAAAGCTTGGCCATCATCCAGGCATCATCTCAGGATGGAGTCTGACCTCTCCACCGGTTTCTTTAGTCTCAACAGACTAAAGAGCAACACAGCTTCAGGGGGGGGGGTGCTGACACAGAAATATCACTTCTTTTAATCATTGAGTTGATTTTGGAGCGTGAAGCTTTATGATGCATTGGAAAATAGTCATTTCTGGCCTGGGAGATTCTGTGGTGAGTAGCAGAGGAAATTTGAGATACCTGATCTGTTAAATTCCCTGTCTCCTTCTTAATGTAAACACTTTGTATGTTTTATAATGGATGAAGCTCTACGATACTTCTGCTTCTCGTACATTTCACATTTTAGGAGCAATTGCAGCCAGAAAACTCACTGACACTTGTCACTGTAAATGCGTTGCTTTGAAAAGGTAATAACTTTCTCCCTGGTGGGAGCGAAAACAATCGATTCCTGTCAGAGAGAAACCTCCACTGGACGAGCTCCTCTCATTTTGCTCAAATGCCGCTGAGATTTCTTCCTCCCTCTAATCATTTCACTCTCATATCACATTTCTCAAGTTTGAGGTCGATGCAGTTTTACGTAGCAGTGTTGGATAGTAGACATTTAACTATGACCTTTCTGTTTGTTTCATGTATTTAATTGAGAAACATTAAAAGCCTCGTCACCGGTCCAACAGGTCTGATGTGATTTACTGCTATTTTCTGTCTCTTCAGTGTTTCTTGAGCGATGTTTCTGTCACACGCTTTTCACCTCCACAACAAATCATTTTTAACCCAAAAACATCTGGATGAGATCCAGTTGTTCCTGCCTGCAGATTATCATGAAGCGCACCCACAGCTCCAGATATGGAAGCCGTATATCTTCAGCTGCATAGATCTGGATGAGGCAGAATATTAATACGTGTCCCGCAGCCCAAAAATAGTTCCATCCTGCTTTTACATAAATCTAATGAGGCTCGTTCGATTTCGTCCATTTATAAAATCACGTGAACGTGGCGGAATGATCGTGTTTGACGAACTCGTCACATTTTGTGTGTATCAACTGAAACTGACCTTGACGTCTCAAAAAAACTCCACCTGCAGTTTCCCTCCTGTCTCCTGTCACATTAATTACACTTTGTCTTACAAGTCCCGAGGGTCTGTAGCGTACATCATAACGAGCCCGGTGTCATTAATTAGCCGGATACAGTTGAGGGTCAGAGTGCCCGAGTGCAGAGCGGCTCTTTCATTAGCGCGGGAGAAAACATACCACATCGCCTACACCACTATCTGGGCGGCGCTCCAGCACGACACCGTGTCATCGTTACCTCACGGCTTCAGCTGAACTGTCGGCTGAGTGATGAACGGTGTCACTGCTCTGCTCCTCAGTCCAAGTCAGTAAATTCAAATGTGTTGTTTTATTATAACGTTGTATTATTCAGTCTTCAAACTCCACTCCATCACCGTGTCGTTGATTTACGACGGGAATTTTTTCCTGCTACAAAAAGGTGGAATAAAACCTTGTCGGAGGAGATTTAGCATTTCTTTACGGATCAGCCCGAAGGCCGCCGTGTGTCGTCGCTCAGAAACGACCTTCAGTGAAATAGAAAAGAGGAGAGTGTGTTTGCATTGTGGTTTTATTTCCTCTCTAATCGCTGTCGGTCAGGTTTAGGGCTCCTTCTCTCTTTTTTAAATAAAATGGAGAAAACCAGGTAACCAACCTAAATCACCACATTTTACATGAACGTGAAGAGGTTTGATTTCTAAGAATTAGAATTATTTTAGGAGTCTTCTCATGTTATAATAAAAAATGTGTCTCTGTCACACACACACTCACACACACTCACACACACACTCACCTTGCTCAGTCAGCTGCTTCTTCTCGGTTCACTGCTCAAGGTTCAGGCCTCGGCTGCAGAGACAGAGAATGAGAAGATGTTTGTTCCCTTCAGCTGTGACCTTTATGTCTTTCACACAAACTCTTTCTTTCTTTAATCACAACTTCATTTAGCATTTATTAGTTTAACTTAATAAAGTCACTGCAGTGATGATGTGTAATACTGCGATAGAAGGACGCACAGTGTATGGTTTAGGTTTTGTTTTTGTCCGTTGGTTGGAAACAAATATACTGCAGAATGCCACAGGCTCAGAAAACTCTGTCCTGATGTCTCCTGATGGTCAGAGCCAACAAAACGTCCAGAATCAATAAAAACATCCAGAATGAAAAAGGTAAATGTGTCGTCGGCCACTTTGAGACCGAAGGAAAGGACAAGACGTCCGACTTTGTTCGCTGCATCCTGTAGCTTCCTCTCAGGTTATTGAATATCTAATGTGACACACACACACACACACACACACCTCTTACCTCTGTGTCAGAGCTGATGCATCACACAGCAGCTTCACGGACGACTGCTCGAGGTTCAAACATCTGCAAAAGAGAGAGAGAATAAGAGAGATATCCAAACCCGTCAGTCTGTTCCTCAAACTCGGACTCTG